TTATTACAATATGGGTATGAATAGAAATGGGATTTAAAGAGTCTTATTTCCTTTATGAAGAGGGTTGCCACCTGTTTATAAAACCAAACTCAACTTGAATTTTAGTCAATCAGGTAATTAAAATACCAGGGTTTCCTGTTCAAAAAGTTAAATTCAGTTTTGGCGTTTTAACAGTGAAGGTACACAGATATTTTCGTTTTCAAATTTGTATGGAACGTTTTATTTTTAAAAACGTTTTGAACCAGGTTTTGCACCTACAATATTTATTTAAGTTTTGAGAACAAATATATTCAATTCAATTTCTAAAATCTAGGTTTTTGTTTTTGATACGCACATTTTCAAATTGTTTTTAAAAACGATCGTTTCATTATTGAAAATGCTCATGGTTAAATTAGAATCCAAAATATTTCTTCTTCGTTTAAAAAATATGCGTTCTCAAATATGATATTAAAATTTTATTTCTATTAAATCACTACTAATCATTCGGTATATATGTACATTGTCAAAACGAGATTGATACTTATAAACAATTTACAAAATTTAACAAAGAAAATGTGGATATTTAACATATACATACGTAAATACATACAGATGTTCTAGCCTTTCTTCCAAGCTGTGCCTGTGATTTTGCTTCGCCCTGGTCAGATCCTGCAAATAATAAACAGAAAATTTTAAACTTTTATTTAATAATTTTTAATTTTAATTTTTAATTTAATTTATCCAATGTCCCTTTTATTTAGGTGGTTAGAATGGTGATAATATATGTATTTACTTTATCGCCTTTTCTGAAGATTGAAGTATGTAGTTTTTTTTATCTGCATACAATTTTTTCGACAAGTGATGCAAACATGTGAAATATTTTTCATTATAACTATGTAGCTTTTGAATTCGAAATCAAAACGTTTTTATTTTAAAAGTGTCTCGTTTTATTTTACTTGTTGAAAATTGTGTCGCACTACAATTCGTTGGACCAATATTCTAAAATGTCTCATTTTACAAAATATATTATAGCGTTCGTTTTTGTTTTGCGAATGTTTAGTCGAAAATACAAATACTGAATTTTTTATTTTGTATGAAGTAAAATTATATAAAAAAATTTGTTTTACAATGTCTTTTGGAAACTTGCGTTTTACCTGTATCATTTTCTCAGGGTGGTTTGTGGTAGATTTGACAGATCTAAAGCCGCTCTGATAAGCCACAATCAGTTCGGTGATGGTGGGCTTTTTAGGCTTTCACACAATAAGATTAGTGTTTTTTTTTATTGGGCAGAGCACTTAAATCGCTGCTTATACTTCACTATAGTCGGGCGGTGGGCCACAGATTGCGTCGTCATTGACCGGGGACTCGGGGCCCCGTTTTCTCTAGTGTTTTCAGTATAGAGTAAGGAAGCATTCCCTCCATAATTTTAAGTAGATATGTTTTGGACATCGCTCACTAGATCGCCATGGTTGTCCGTAAATACATTCACACTGGTCTTTAAACCATTTCAAGTCGGCCAGAATTTCAAGCTCTTCGTACGCTTGTATTTCGGCCTCTCTTTTATTACGGAAAATACATACGTATCGCTCAGATGTGAGGCTTTGATTGCAACTTTTCGGCACTGAGTTTTATTTATATTTCTGCGGGCGGATCATGCTTTTCATCTATCACATCATGAACGATTTCTCTCGTCTTTTGTTCTAGAGACCGCCATGTAGTCTGATGAAAGTCGAAAGCAGAAAACTAGGATTTTAGCAGCGTAGGTGAAAGGAGCTAGTCAGTAATGGTAAAGCGGACAAAAAACCTACACAACAAATCCACATGTATACATACATATGTAGTATTATTTTAATTTTATTATAAAACTAATCACAAATCTTATAATTTTCTCTCTTATAGGGTTCTAAGACCACCAGGCGGTGGCACTAGCGACATCTTCGGCGGTGATCTTCCACAAACTCCGCGCAACGTTAAAAATCACATGCAATCGAACATTTTCTCGTGTGACAAAAATGGCGGTATCAAAAATAACGGTAAGCCAAAATCGCAGCATGCTTTTTTGATTGATTTAAAATATATAATTATTATTTTTTTTTAATATTGTGATTAAAATATATATATATATATATAT